CGCTGTCTCATATTAAGCTCCTTCTGCGTGAAGATGTACTGTAGGCTCTTATGGTCAGTGAATACCTCGCAGCGTCCGCCGTAAAGATAATGACGCCAGATCTTCAGGGCGTGAACGACTGCAGCTAACTCTAAGTCGTGCGTAGGATAGTTCTGCTCATGGGGCTTAAGCTGTCGCGAAGCATACGCAACGACCCGTCCGTCCTGCATAAGGACACATCCCAAGCCCTGCCTCGAAGCATCGCTATAGATAGTGAAACTCCGAGTAGGATCTGGGATAGTCAACACCGGTGATGTAGTCAATCTCCTCTTGAGCTCCTGAAAGCTCGCCTCACATCTGTCAATCCATTCGAACTTCACAGTCTTCCTCGTCAGCTGGGAAAGAGGGAGGGCAATCTTGGAGAAGCCCTCGATAAACCTGCGATAGTAGCCAGCTAATCCGAGAAAACTGCGAACCTCGGACGGATTCCTCGGTGTCGACCAGTTCTGCACGGCTGAAACTTTAGAAGTATCCACCTCGATGCCTGCCTGGGTAATAACATGACCCAGAAAAGATACTCGCTGAAGCCAGAACTCGCACTTGGAGAATTTGGCGTACAACCTCTCTCGTCTGAAGGTTTCGAGAACCACCCTCAGATGCTCCTCATGCTCCTTCTGACTCTTTGAGTAGATAAGGATATCGTCAATAAAGACAATCACGAACTGATCGAGGTATGGATGAAAGATATGGTTCATGAGATCCATGAACACTGCTGGCGCGTTGCTGAGACCGAAAGGCATAACTACAAACTCGTAATGGCCGTAACGAGTCCTGAAAGCGGTCTTAGCGATGTCTGACTCCTTAATCTTCAGCTGGTGGTAGCCTGATCGTAAATCGATCTTTGAAAATACACAGGCTCCCCTCAACTGGTCGAATAAGTCGTCGATCCTGGGAAGCGGGTACTTATTCTTAATCGTCAACCGGTTGAGATGCTGGTAGTCGATACACATTCGCATAGATCCGTCCTTCTTCTTAACAAAAAGAACGGGTGCTCCCCATGGTGACACGCTCGGTCGGATAAAACCGAGTCTTAACAGCTCCTGAATCTGAGTCTTAAGCTCCTGTAGCTCCTTAGGCGCCATGCGATATGGGGCTTTGGATACTGGACCGGCCACTGGGATAAGATCAATGGAAAACTCCACCTGACGGTTGGGCGGTCCTCCTGGAAGCT